TTCATAGTTTTGCTAAGTATCAGTAGTGGCAGCGTTAGCTAGTGAGGTTAAAGAGGAAAAAGAACAATATTCAAGAAATGATTGATTAATATTGTGCTCCTTTTTGATAAATCTCACTAAAATTAGTCTAATCTTAGCCCACCAAACTGCGTGAACTTGATATGAAAGCTGTTGAGTGTTCTGCCTCTGCTCGCATTCCCATCCCGTCTTCCCTCAGGGACAGAGGAGGAAAAGCTCAGTTGAAGTGAAACAAAGTATCTTGAAAGTGTCGTTTTTATTCTGATTGTGCACTTGGCTGTGTTTAGTTCTGACGGTGGATCTTGTAAACAGTAATGAAGACACAGTTGCACAGAATCCTTTTGCAAACATCTGCCACCCTGGGACCAATAACATCTTGCTGTTCCTTTGTATTTTCTGTTCCCTGTGTCCATTTTTGCAAGTACTGGACTCATTCATGCCAAGAACTCATGCAAAATTATCGGTTTTGATTGAATAATTCTTGTGAATACTTTATTTCAGGTATTGTAGCTGTATTGTAGGGTGCTTCTGTACTAAAACGTCCTGTCTTTGACTTTTATAAGCATAGCCTCCATCCACATTTACTAATAAATTATAGATGCTAACAAAATGCCCACCTGTGAGATCTGAAGGTAGGCACCTGACTTGATATGACAGGCATGTAAGTGCGAGTCTTGCTTCTCTGCTCCCTTCCTGGCATCTCTAGGGGTGAACGGTGCACTCAGTACTCAGGTGCCTGATAAGATTTAGGTGTCTCTCTATTCTGAGAGACATAGATTAAGAAACTAGACCTGTTCTCTGTATACCAAATTTCTCATTTCTCCCTAGGTGGGGCATTGGATTTGCTCTAGGCTGGACATGTGAGGTTGTTATGTAGCACATAGCGCACAGAGATAAGCTCTTCACAGAGAAGACAAACTGTCTTTCAGCTGAGATACCTTTTGGTGGCTAATTTGTGTGGCCCTGGTCATAAATGAGAGGTTGCTCTGAGTGGCCATTTGTGCTCTAACATTGTGCCATCCTCTAACAGCCATTTTTGTATGCAGTTTGAATTTGAAAAGGTGAAAAAGGCCATCTGTGGGCTAATGAAAAGATACTTAGGCAACCTGTAACAAACACTGTCATGTACTCAACTTGGCCGATACCCGCTGTGCATGCACTCGGCTTGGGCTCAGCAGCAAATCCCTTAACTCCAAGTTGTGGGCTCTCCTGGTTCGCTGACGTGCTCTTGCTGGCTCTGCAGGGAAGCTCTGGTATCTGCACTGCTCCACTGATTGAATCTTTTCTGATTGACATGCTTCCTTAGAAGAGCTATGACAGTTCATCCTAGTACAACTGTGAATTGGTTTTGCACCTACTGCTGCCCTTTCTCCCCGTGTACCTGTCCAAAAATGTGTGTCTGTATTTAGGCCACAGTTGCAATGAAAGCTGGGGATGTTTGCATGTTTGATGCTGTCAGGGTCCCGCACCCCTTCGGCTGCTCGGCGATCATACAGCTACGCAGTCGCACCCTCGTTCTTTGATGCTCCTTTTTCTGGAGAGTTGTTTTGCACCGGAGGGGGAGTTGGTGTGTGGGTGTTTGAATGCTGCTATTTGCTGTTTTTTAAAGGACTTCTAGCCCTCCCATGGGGTTAAGCAATGCATACCTGTGCTACAGCCCAGCATACAGACTGCTGACAGGTACCAAGTGGAAAAACCCTGCTCATAGTGTGCTGTGTTTTGTCAACATGTTTTACTGCCCATGGTTTTCAGCAATTTGTTACTCAATATTTATCTTTTTTTTTTCTCCATTTGTGCCTACATTGCCTGGCAAACCATGTTGTTCTATTATAACATTTCTTTTTCTTTTTCCCATAAGTTGCCAGTATCCGTGTCCTTTCAATTTAATAATTAATCACTGTTGAATTTAAAGAAAAATTTAGAAATCCCCAAAACGATACCGATGTTCAGTCACGTATTAGCAACAGTATAACCCTTTCTTTTCAAGATGCTAGTTACTGGATCCATTTGTAGCTACTTTTCTTCATTTAAGTAGTTCTGTTTTCTGTTTTCCAGCTGTTACATGACACACATCTTCAAAGGCGCTGCTGGCTTATTCAGTAGCTGTAGGTTGCGTATTTTCCTTTAGGCTATAACTGACCACAGCACTTGGCTGCCAGCAATGTTTAAGACAATAAAGATGGAAAACAGGGCTTACCCCATAACCTGTGAATACACTGGAGTGTTTTCGGTACAGTTTTGCTTCACTCAGCCTAGCTTATCAATTGCCCAGGAGGCTCCAGGCTAGTCTCTTCTTTGCCTTTTCCGTGTGTTACAGAGGTCTCTACTGTTTTGGCAGAGAAGTCTCTTCTCAAATGCTGGACTTGCTGATTTACATGACGGTGGGGTGGTATTGTTGGTGAGGGTAATTCCCAGACTTATCCCTTTCTCATTTCCAGCATCTCTGGATTGACATAGATGTCCTCACCTTTTATTTTTTATTTCCTTTCTGTCTTTCAGTGTGTTTGCTGGGTTCGGCCCAGCTCTTCCCTTCTTGTCCATGACTCAGGACTTGTCTCAACATTAGCATTACGATTTTTATCTCTAATTTATGCTGCTCCTTTAGTAGTCCTAAGGCTCTCATTTCAGGGCCTATCTTTTGCTTCCTTTCCCAAGTAGGGCTTGCAGGTAGATGTTACGAAGTCTTGACCTTACTTACCCAGTTCTGGACCAGTGCAAGTAAATGTAGTGCTTTGGCGCTGCATAACGTTGTTTTAAGGACAAGATTTAGGTATCGAGTGCTGCAGGCCAGTGTGAGGATAAAGAACGGTTCATAAGAATGGCCTTTAACAGGGCAATATCCCAAGAGTTTCCCCAGACAGCATCGCTTAGCTTGCTCAGTAGCTGGACCTTTGTTCTGTTTGAAAACAAGTCCTGAACTTCCACGCAGAATAAATGTAATCCCTGCCTGGTGTCTAGTATCTCCACAAGAGCTGGCTTCTGTCGACGCAGACTCACAGCCTGACGTGATGTGGGCTGTTTGTTGGTCTGTGAAGTGTTCACTGCACCTTTCATTAGTCAGAGTTACCGGTGCCCACAGGATTATATAGCTCCTTCCTGCACTTTCCTACTGGTACAAGATGCCTTCTGCTCTTTACAGTGGCAGCCATCTGTCCCCTTCCTCCAGAGAAAGGAGGTTCATCTTTTCACTCTTCTTTCAACCCCAGCCACTTACAGAAGCGATTACAAGGAGGAAGAGGCCTGGGCAGTAGAGAGAGAAAAAAAATAATTCCTTTCCCTGAGCAAGGAGAACTCTGTACATGCTGGGTTAAGAGAACAGATTTTCCTGTTAGCCCCAACAGCAACGTTTTTCTTCCCCTCAACAGTCATAACCAAAGCATAACTATGCAGTGAGAGCATAGATTTTTATGGAACTTCTAACTGTTGAAAGACTTGTAAGCTACTAAACACATGATTTTAAAAAAATAGTATAGCATGGGCTGTTTGGCTCCCCTTATGTAAACTCAGGTATGAACAGTAGCTACATAGTGATGGGCAGCACCTTTTACATTACTGCAGTGCACCAGATAACCGTTGTTTGATTTTGTCTGTCTCTCTTTCCTTCGTGGCTTAAGGCATCATACAGTTACCCGGGGTATAACTAAAGGAGTGAAAGAAGATTTCCGCCTGGCCATGGAGCGCCAGGTCTCACGCTGTGGGGAAAACCTCATGGTGGTCTTGCATAGGTTCTGCATTAATGAGAAAATACTGCTGCTGCAGACTCTGGCTTGAGTGGACTGGACCATGATGCAGTGTCTCTTCCGGCAAGAGGGGAAGGCTCTTTATTGCCTGAACAGCAGCTTGGCACTGGAAATGAACAGCAGTGTGGCACTGGAAAATCGCTTGTCCAGAGGGTCAGAGAAGTTCCCTATGAGCTACAGGTTCTGCAATACACAAACACTATTCAGTGTTGGTTCACGGCTTAGTTTTCTTATGTGGGTAGATCAAACTTTATAAATAAAACTTTGTTTAAGAAGTCTTCTGTAACATCCTTAATGTCCCCAAAAATTGTTGGTTTTTTTTCCCATAGCATTATACTAAGGTGTGTGTCTTGGTTCTTTTTGTCTTTACGCATACACAGAGGATACAGCAGGGTATTTCAGGCTTTTTATTAACACTCGTTTGGAAATCACAGCATGAATGAATTTCCTTAGTTTCCAAAAACTATTATCTTACATTGAATTGGTCTGCTCGCTCTTCCTTTTTGGCTGAGTTCTACCTATATTGCTGGTTTTCAGATTCAGGGCCCTTACGTAAATCCATTTATGAAGAGAACTGCTTTGATTGACCCTTGGTAATATCCAAGTGATTATACAAAGTCAATGGGAACTGGCTTTTCTGCGCTCTTAGAGTGCAGCATGTGAAATTTGGACCTCATCCATGTGGGAGGAATGTAACACAAAGGCCCAGAACGTGCACAGATGGGCTGCTAAACCTGTAGCAGCAGCATGCCGATTAATAAGCCAACAGAACAGATCTTTGGCAGCAGGATCCTAAACCTAAGGTTTTGATCCAAGACCAAATTGGAAGAACACAATGGAGAATGATCAGTTGAGTCACCGCTTTCCGCAGCACGCTGTAGCACAGAGGTGCCCCTGAGCTTTCCCAGACAGTCACTGCACTGCTGACCCGAGTGCAGGGCTGAGGATGCTGCCAGTGCTCCTCAGTCCAAAACCAGCCCAGTTAAACGTGTGCCAGCAGCAGCATGGCACAGGCATGCGGCAGGTGCCAAGGGTATATACAAACCCCAGATCTCTGAGCTAGGGGGTGCCTCGTCAGATGCAACGACTGTTGCCAGAGTCCCGTTCTGATAACCCCTTGCAGTCACTGCCCCCATCCCTTGCAGTTCCTTTTGTAAGCACCATCAGGCTGTCTTTGACTGCCCAACTGTTGCAGTATGTTCACTTTCTCTATTAGAAGGAGGGAGATCAGTAAAATATTTACAAAATACAGAAAACAGAAAGAGAGCAACTGCAGCAGACTAGTAGGTTTTTGCTAAATAGGAAAATACTGTCCCTTAAGTCACATGAAAGTCTTGATAACTTCCATGGCACTGTAAACTTGAACTAGTGTCCCTTTTTAGTAACACAGCCTAGCATGAGTGGCAGTGTTTCAGGCCAATCCACCTTATGCACATGCCCCATCAGAATCTAGGCCTGCTATACCTTGACCACCTCTATCAGATTTTCCAGAATATCCTTTTCCTGTAAAGTAAATACGATATTATGACCCAAAGAGTTGTCGCAGTGAGGTTTTGAGTCAGATGCTCTGCGTGGGATTGACTGTCTTGCATCTTCCACTTAAAAGGGAAGTAGTTTTCAAACACTTCGTGTCCAATGTAGACCAGAATTGAGTTCATTCCTGAAAGTAAGGACAGGTCATACCGTCGGAAAGAGCAGGTATGAGCTTGCTTCAGACTAAGCAGGCAGAAGCTTGCCAGGCTTATGGAACAGAGCGGCACCAAGAGGATAACAGCTAATCACAGCAGCTGTTACTTGCCCCAAAGATGCTACACACGTGTGGTTTCAAATACAGTCTGAGGGGTTCTCTTCCCCCAAAATGTTTACTGCAAACACATACAGACAACCTATATGCTAAATTGAGAATACAACCAAATCACTATCCTGCAATTTTATTGACAGGGAGAATAATCACAGTTATTGTCTTCAGGGTGGCCGAGTGCCAACCTATTTGGTCCGATCTGCTGCCTTTACAAACAAATGCTGACTGCCCTTCAAAGCTCTGGTATTTCTGGTAGGAGATACGATACCATGCTGTCACCCTACCCGTCTTCCTGTCCAGACACCAGACAGCAAAGTTGCTGAAAGGTTCCCTCTGCTGTGGGTTTGCATTCTGTACTCAAAGGTTTGTCAAGAGCCCAGTGTGGTTAAAACTGCAGTGGGATGCTTTGTGAGACAGGCTTATCTAAAAACACAGAGGCAGAACCTACACAGCTGCCCAGGGGATTTCATCTTCCACATCTTCAGAAGTGGTTACCCAAGTCTCAGCAGTCCTTTCCAAAACCAACTACGAACCAGCTGTGGTATTTTGCTTGGTACTAGGCAGCTGTTCCCTGGGACCTTAACACCAAACTGAGAACGGTCACTGGGCAATAGAAGCTTCCAGTCCCTCTCTCTTAAATACCTGGTCTCCAGTGTCCCAGTTCTACGCAAAAATTCAGCTCAAGTTAATCATTCTGGTGTCCTTCAGGTTACCTCATTGTCAAATCTCAACTCTTAAAAGACAAGGGAAGCACAGAAAACATAAAAGGATAGTATCAGTGCAGAAAGAATTGGAAGGAATACATTTCCTGCCATGATTTTACTGACCTGGGTAGAAAAATGGAGCACCCGACCACAGTCTTTTGACATCCACAAGGTAATATATCAGCAGTAAGAGGATGAAGGCAAAGCAGCTCATGGTTGTCACATATGATATTGACCTACACACGTTTTCAGTAGAAAGATTATTTACAAAACTATGTGATACAGACAGATCTGAATATAAGACAGGTAAAACATTCTCCACGATAAAATAGTACTTTAATGAAATCATACTAAAAGTTCTCTCTCTCTGCTTACCATAAGTTCTTGTTGATGGGAATAAACCCTTCTTCTTTAGAACACTTTGTCAAGATAGCAGAAATAATTCCCTGAAATAGAAAGTTGCTAAAGTTTATATAACCACTGCAACATGTTTCTAGAAATACTAAGTTTGCATTGAAGAAAAATACATGTCTATTAAAGAGCTGCAGAGCTGTCTGACTTACCATTACTATGCTCCATATGACGAACCGACTCATGATTTGTTTGTGCTGGTCTTTGTAGAACAAGATAATTTTTCCTGCCTAATATAAAAAGAATACAAAAAATGAATTAACGCCCATAAATGTAGCTACATTTCAAGAGCCAGATACGTTTGCCACCGTGTGCTAACACAGACATACAGGGTTTGTATCGACTAAGGGGCTGAAAGGCTCAGAATGGGAACTCTTTGCAAAGAATTGACACCGATGGGGAAAATACATAAATGCAACCCACTCGGCAATAGAGGTGCACCTTTTGTCCCTTCTTTGCTACATTAACACTGAGGAAGGGGACAAGCAGCTTCAGTAGGTTAACACAACGTGACTCAAGCTCCACCTCCCTCAGGAAGGATTGCCCAGGGAGGTGGTTGAGTCCCCATCCCTGGATGTGTTTAAGAATAGGGTGGATGATCTACTTAGCGATATGGTTTAATGGGGATTAGGGATGGTTGGACTCGATGATCTCTAAGGTCTTTTCCAACCTAGAAATCTATGAATCTATGAATCTATGAACCATGCCATGTCGACTCCCCAGCAGCCCCAGCAGCGCCATGTCAACTCCCCAGCAGCCCCAGCAGCGTCTCCGCAGTGCCGTGTCACTGCCTGGCCTGCTTGGAGCACACGCTCCTCTTCACGCACCGCTGTGAAACGCGTCTTGATGGCTCATTCCGCACTGCCACCCTTCTGTTCCAAGCTCTGCCCCGCAGAGATTCCAACTCAATTTTTACCCAGCGCTACCTGCAGTAACATTGCTTTCCCAGCACAAGAATTTCACTTTGTTTAACAGCTGCTGCAAAGACAAAAGCCAGCAATGACTAGAACCGCATCAAAAAGCATCATGATGCCCTATTTTAAACACGGTGCTGAGCTGTGAGCTTTGGATGTTGGTAACACCAACGTGACCCCTGCCTCCCTCGTGTCTGGGAAGGTAAGCACACCCATAGCACCTATGCAAGATGGCTGACATTGCACGTCAAGCAGAAAATTAGCAACGGGGAACACGTACAGCTGCGACCTTTAGAATTGTGTGTTTAAAATGAAGCTGGGAAGTCTATGCATTTCTTGGCCCTATTTTCCAACATGCAGAGCCTCAGCTCAAGCTCAACCTTAAAACAAGCAAAGGAAGTTTCCGGGTGGATATTTTGCAAACTTCTGGTGTCTGTCTCTTAACAAAAACTGAGAAAAAGTCTTGGTTTATCTAATGCAAGCTACTGCCAGGTTAGATTCCACTTCTCTGACACTCACCTTAGGCTAAGTCAGACTGAAAGCACTGGTCTGGAAAAGGTTTTGTTAGAACCAGTCTCAGCCTTAAATAAAACCAAGTTGCCTCCGCACTTCCAGGACTCCTCCTAATCTTCCTGTTATAGCACACAGTCAGAAAGAAAAGAGGTACCTGCAGTCCCAGAAATGCCATGAAAATGGTATTTATGGTCCCCAGGATCCCTTCAGGATCATATGGCATCGTTGTTTGGTAAATCACCTTAGAGAGAAAACAGTTGTTACAGGGCACCTGAGCAATCGACCTCCTTTCTCTTCCACCCCTGCATGTATCATTCCTAAGCCCCTCCCGACACCTATGTTCAGTGCTCACCTGCAGCTTCATACCACAAACCAAAAGCTACTTACACTTGAAGAGGGATGCTGATATATATGGTTTTCTCCAAGAAGCAAACGATCAATGTAACCAGCTGCTCCTCCAGTGCAGTTGGGATACTTTCCAAAGTCTCCAATGCCCCCAGGACCAAGATAGCCCCTAGGACAGAAGCAAACAGGTTCTAGCACAAAGCATTAGTACGTTCCACCTGAAGAGTAGCTGGTCCACCAGCCCAGCACACTAAATGCCCGATGGTTTCCCTGGCCAGAGGCACTCAGCGAAACACAGGTCCTACATGACAGCTGGCTGGTGGCCACCCTGTTCTCATCATCGCGATGCCATGAGCAGATGGGTCATGAGGGGACAGGCAGTATCCGGAGCCTAAAGCAATGCTTCAGTTCAGCCCTGGCTACCCAGTCAGCTGCTCTACTTGTCCTGCAGACGTGTCCTTCTAAAGGGGCAAAGACAGAGACAGGGATGACATTGCAACGATCATATATCGCTCTACACAGACCTCAGGGAGATTTTCATCCTCTTCTTTAGATACAAAGGAACAATGATGTCACCTCAATAACACCTGGTACTTCAGTACCAAAGTAAAGTTTTTTCACATGAAGAATGCTTCCCTTAACCCCGCTGGCCTAAAAGCTCTCCTCTTCATTCTCTCCCTATGGCTAATAAAATGAATTTTCTACTCAGTAGAAGAAAAATAATCTGATGCTCCACAGAAAGTATTCTGAGTGCACAATCTTACCTGGGACAACCTGGCACTGGTAACAAAAAGGTCAGGCAGAGCCAAATCATTTCTAGCATCAGAATGAAAATCCACTGTGGCCAGTAGGGGAGAATATCCTGCAGAGCAGGACATGGCGTCTCCTGCATGAGATGGAGGAGGGGGGGGTGGGTATTAGCTGGCAAGTAAAAACCATGCCCTTGGGGACATCCTGTACTTCCTGGCAGGCAGCTCCCCAGATACAAGAGGGAGCTGTTGTCATTACAAAACTGGGTTCTACCAATAGACCTTTCATCTTCACGAATGATTTCCAGGCACTCAGTTACGTGGGGGAGGGGGAGAAACAAACCAAAACAAAAGCCCACAATGTTTTTTAGCTTGGAAAATGTCAAAAGGAATTTTGATTCATGAGTAGAACAAAAGCCTTTTGGGAAAACAGACTCCAGAAAGGCCAAAAAGCAGTATTACTTTCCCCTGCTGTGAAAAAACACTGCCAAAATTAACCGGACAAAACACAGGCCACAGGAGTCAGCATAGAGATGCCTGTCCCTGGGGTCCCTTGGTGGTGAAAAGTCATCAAAAGTGCCTGAGAATGCCTATTTCTAAGCACCATCTGAATGGATCGGTGAAATCCTCAAACACAGCAAAGCTAGATGTGATAAAATGCAGACTGGGACACTGAAGGGTGCATGTTCCCTGAAATTTTTGCCAGGTCACACTGCACTATGCATCAGGTAAGATGCTACATGTGTTCTTGTCATGTCTCATGTGTTCTTTGTGCCCAACGAAGAGCAGAAGCTCCCAAACCTTACTTCAGTATCACTTGCGATCTCCCCGCATAACTCACCAAGGTCCCACTCTCAGCCCCAGCTCTTGTAAACATGAGTTCGAGAGCAGCAACCACCAGGTACGTGAAACCCAGCCTTTGGAGCACCCCAGGAATACGCAGGTTATCCCAGGACACTGGAAAACAAGCAAGCAATGTGGAAGAGGAGCAGACATGGGTTCTTTTGTAAATAGGAAAGCTACCCTTCTCCAGGGAGAGCTGAGACCCACTGCCCCTGCAGGTACAAGGGACACCTCCACTCTGCCACCCCACTTTCTGTACATCTTGACCCTGGGACAGGCACCACTAAGATGATTAACAGTGATGGGCAGAGGGGTCAGAAAGAACTGCGTCAGTGCAGAACTGAACAGCACTCTACTATCGAACTGCCCGTGTGCAACTGATCAGTACAGCAAGGCCCACACTGTTTTCTCAACAGCCCAGCCCAGGAGGCAGGAACAACAGTTGCAGAAATACAAGGAAGAGAGCAAGTTCCACTCACATGGTCCAAGGCAGTAATTGGGATTCACGACTATGATTCCCAGCAGGATTAGCAGAAAACTCCTCCAGAGGATTTTCCCGAGCACTTTCTCCTTGGAACTTCCCCACCTCAGCATAGAGCTCAGTGACAACGATACCGATGTCCCCATTATGAACACAAACCTGGAGAACAGAGCAGATGGGAAATGGAGCTGACAGATGGCTCATCACACATGTGCGTGACAGCAAACACTAGAGCTGACAGAGTAGCCTGCTTTGGCCCAACAGAAATGCATGCATTGAGTGAAACTGGACAACTTTTACTTCCTCTGATTGCTAGGAATTTCCAGACAATTAAGCTTGCACTAGGGGACCTTTCTACCTCTTTCAGTGGTCAGTTCAGGCAATAAAGTTCAGGGAAGTAACTGCATTCTGGTCTTTCTGCAGCAATACATATGCCACCAAAAAATTCCATTACCCAAAATTAAATCATCATCTTCAGAGCAGTAAAACACAAGCTGCAACTTTAAGATTCAAATTGAGAACTGACCAGCTCCCCTCCTGTAGATTAGGTTCACAGTCCAAGTCCAGCTCCCATCTCCAAGAGTAACCACAACCAGTGTGTAACTTAGAGAAGCTTGCTAGGGGCAGATGGGATAATTGCATCCCCGTAAGACTACTGTCTGGTTATAGTGAGATTAGCTTAATCCAAAATTCCGTTGGCTATGTGTATCCCTGGATACACATCAGTCCAGCTTTGAATATTGTCAGATCGACCGCCTTCAACATAGTAGTGTGGCAATGAGCTCCTCAGGGATACTGCACTTCCACCGGCACGGTAAGCCTGGGCCTCCCACCGACATTGTGTGTGGGGAGGACGGAGGACATAGGGCAGCCAGAAGCACTTAGCTCTTCTACTGCTTCATAAGGATGAGGCTGTTACCTGGAGGGGCAGACTCCTATCAACCATCCACCCCTCCAAATACATTTCCACATGGAGGTGAGGTGCACACAATGCTCTCCTTGCCATCCTTAACATAATCACTTGACACAAGAACTGTGCTTCAGGAAGACTTACCATGGAAACACCAGATCTGCCACTGTTAATCCTACAGAAAAATACGAAGGAACACATTATTTACCTTGAACTCTCCCTAAATTTTAAAAACATTGCTGTTGAGTTTCCAGAGGAATTGCAGGCCACTTGCAATTATCTGATGCCCCAAAATCTAAACCACATTATAAACAAAACTTACAAAGAGCTAATCATCTTGATTCACTGCTTTTACCATACTTCAAAAGTAGGGTCAGAACTGATTGCTGGGTCTTGGGAAAGATTTCGGGGATGGGATCCTTGCTATTCTCCACTAGGGCAGCATGATGCCCGAGCCCTTCCCCAACAGCTTGCCAATCAAGGCATTATGTTTGTACAGCATTGAGCACCGTCAGCTTGACTGTGGTCATTAAGCAAAACAGAAAAGTTAAAGATATGAACCTGTGTCCAAAAAGAAAAGGTTACGCACAGATTGCGCTCTGAAACGATCCCGTCACTAGGTGATAAGCAGGAGCACAAGCTGCTTTGCCCATTAACCTAACAGGCCTGATACCTTGCTGAAGCAAACTGGCGCAGGGTCCCAGCCTTCAGCTGAGCAGCAGCTTGCTGCAGAAGCTGCAAAGCTAACCGTATCTGGACACCGCTGCAGCTGAAAACCAGATTAACTGTCTCCATCGTACTTTACCGTTCCAACTCTCGTGTTTGAAGAACCAGTATTTTCCTCCTCCATAGTTAACAAACACCATAATTATAAGAGAGAGCCTAAAGAGACAAATACAAAAACACACACGAAGTATCACATGTCAATGAAGTACACAAATATGAACGCGCAGTTAAAGTTTACCCCCATTAAAACATTTCTAACTGCGAGATCTGGTTTATTTTATTTTAAAAGCAAGATTATGTACTACAACATCTCCAGCTTTGCCAATCAGGAAGCAGCGTTTCAAGGATTGGGGGTGGCAGCAAACCAAAGTAAGGAGCTATGCTCCTTCACATAGCATTTTCGCGCTGAACATATGTTGTTCTTTTCCACCCTCTGCCATAACTTTAATGTTTCCTCAAACTAGATCAACTGCAAAGTGTTTCAGAAAATCCAAGAATTAAAACCTTGATTATCTTCCAGGTAAAACAGACCCCTTTGAACTGTCCATCTGCTACATATTTCCATGCACTGTCAAACTGCCACTGGAAAAATCTCTTTCCCCTTGGAAGAGTTGCTTTTGAGCAAGATCTTATGCTTACCCTCGGAACGTGTCCAGGGAACGCAGCCGCTGCCGAGAGGCTCTGCTCCACAAACGTGGGGTGGGATCACTGCTAACGGAGTCTGTTGTGTTCGGGGACCCAAGCTCCTTTGGGAATAAACCAGACACACAAAAGGCAAGTCAGCAACTGCATCAGCTGCCTAGGGAAGAGAGGTCAGCAAACTTCACATACTGTGTTTGTCTTTGTTCTCCCCATCTTCCTCCTTGTTTCCCCACTTGCTACTTCTAACCCCTTCAAGGCTCCACCATATTGCAATAATATTTGCAGATGCTCCACACTCCACCTTTAACCAGAGTGGAAACAACAATGCAGTGAAAAGAGACTTGTGTTTGAGACTCAGAAGAGCTGGGTCCAGTCCAAATCAGCCACAGACTTCCCGTCACTGTGAGCGCTGCTTCACAACAGAGCTGAGCAGATCCAGTTGCTGACTCAAACAGGATCCATCCGATCCCATCGGTACTTGTCTGATACCACAGAGAGACTGTTTAGAGAGCTAAACCAGCAGAAAATGAATCCTTTTAAATGCAGGAGTGGCTTCTTTCCAATTGACTTCCCTAAATCACTCTGATCAGCCCCAGCGACAGCAGAAAGAAGCAGACATCACTGTAACACAGCTATGGAGATGAACAACTACAAGAATTGCTGCAGAGTTCTGCTCCCAAGTCTTTTGATGCTAGACAGGTTTGGACCTCCTAGATGTGAAGCCCAGACTATGATCTATCTATTCTAGTACAAAACACGGCTCACACAGAAATGCCAGCCCTAGGGCTGCCAGAGAAATCCTGACTTAAGTGTAGATCCTGCTAAAATTCCTACTGTGCTGGAAGCAGACACAGAAGCTGACATTTCTTCCCTTCCCTTACATTATCCATGTCAGAAGCGGACAGTATTTTCACCAGCGCATTTGCTTCAAGGGAACTAAAGAGGACACAAAGCCGTATGTTCAAGACTTGCAAGAGCTCTACTGGGAATCCACCAAACTTGCGTGGAAACCCAGTCTAGCACTCTCCATTGACATAGAATCGCCTGTCTGGCATCAGTACCAGAGTTGCCAAGGGGAATATGCAAAAAGGGGAAGACGATTAGCAATAAACAAGTCCCCAGATGTCTGGATAGTGTGTGTTCCTCAGAGATGACAACACTACAGAATGCAAATTAAAGATATTGTGGTCACTCACAGAATTAATCAGATGATCAGTTTCTCTGGGGTTCAGTTTCTTGTAAACCCAATTTCTGACTGGATCAATTCTGAAAATGAGTAACAGTTAAAAACACAAAAGAAAACAAGAAATACTTTATGGCCAGTTTCATCTTAGTATCAACCATTTAGCAGCAGAAATCAGAAGTTGGGACAGTCTCCATTTCTGTTTCCCCAGCTCACATACGTAATACTGAGATTCACCAGTACCCGGGACCTCAGTTAACTCCAGCTACGTAATTACACTGCCACAAGGTCAGGTCCGGGGGCTTTATTCCAAGGTTGTTTACAGGTAGGGATGACTCAGGTCATTCAGTACACAGGATGGAAGGCTGCATATGCTGCACACGCTTAGGTCCCACTGACTTGTATTGCCAGTTCAGGGCTAGACCAGGAACAGGTCTCAGGAGGGTAAGGCAGGGTGTGTGCGAGCTTACAGCGGACGTCAGCTGGTCGGCAGTAACTGCTCCACACACAAGGTAACAGGGAAATCATACCACTCTGTATTTATTATCACACGGACAGCTATCACAGCTTCACTTGTACATGGCAGCCTGATAACAGAATCTGACCTAAAGCAGGGCTGCAGTGGGACTCTGGAGCACTATCACATTGTGACGTGTGGTTTCAAGCTGGCGGCCCCACTTGATGTGCGAGAAGGTGTTACAGTACTGTTCACTTACTTCATAAAAAGGCGCCCAACAATCAGGATAGCAAGGATCCCCATGTAAACCAGGAAAGCAAAGAGAATAGCTACGTGAAAGACAGAAGAACACAACTTTATAAATGATCTAACAAAACCATCCAGCAGCCTGGGCTTGGCCAAGCGTGACACAAACATGACAAAAAGCCCAACCCACCAATCATCACACCACCTTCTCCATGCAATACATATCCCCAGCCTGAGTCTCAGAGGAAAAAAATGAGCACAAAAAAACCCCAAAACAACCCAAAACAAGAGCAGACTGGTTTCAAAGTGCAGCTCAGTGACTGCACACCTCAGTATAAAAAAGGCAAAATAAAACCGTACTGCATCACAAGGCAACGGTGAGAAAAGAGTCAGAATGCCACGCGTTCTGAAGAAGAAACTAGAGATTTGGAAACAGTCTCAACATGAAGAAGGCAGGGGAGAGGGTAAAACACCAAGTTTGCAAGCATGGAGAATTTTTCTTTACAGCTGGAAAACTGGAAAGACTGAAGATTAACCTAATGTAAAGGAAAAGAATGGAAGAGATGTAGACGAGAGTTTGAAACAGCCCTGGAAAAGAGATGAACAAAAAAGCAAGACGTGAGGTTTAAAATTAAAAGTGCAACAACAAACAAAAATCCAAACACTGGATGAATTGTTTCCCTTTTTGTGAGAGAAGCAAGACAGAGGGAAGAAGAGGGAGGATTCTGGGTACATACATAAACATGCAGGGAAACAGGAACTAACTGAAAATATCTCCCTCTGGACACATACTCACTGATTTTTCTGGGCTAATCCCTGCTGCAAAAAGGTTGTAGTCATACAGTTTATCATGTGAAGAGGCCTGATCCTGGTCAAGACCTCAGGACGGGTGTATAAAACGTAAGGAGGTAAGATGCTGAGAGGGAAGAGGAGCAAGCCCATGACACATCTTCAGCACAGCATGAGTGGCTGCACAGACTTTTGGGGAAGTTGGTTCTGCTGGGAGACATGTGAGTTGTAGAATGAAAGGGGAAAACAGAGCATTACATACGGAGGTAGCTGTTGATAGGGCCTTCATTGATGACTAGGTCACAAGAAACAGTTTTGGTGCTTGTACTTAGGGTCTTTACCACAAGGGAATAATTGCCAAACTCTCCAAAATGATACTGAATCCTGCAAAGGATAAAGGAAACAAAACTTGCTGAGCCATCACTGTTACATGCAGGTACCACAGCAGCATTTGGGGGGCTGTAAGCCTGCACGCTTGTAGGAAAGGCAGGGTGAAAACTCGGCCTAACAGCCTGATCCAGCAAGGAGCTGCCTGGTTCTGCCTCTGCCGAGCATTACCCTCCGCTATCCCAACGCAGATGATCCACCACACGTGCACTGCTGACTACATCACCTGTCTTCCTGAACTACAGGCTCTCTGCAGGAGAAACCAGGCGCTTGCACGTGCTGGCTCAACGCACACTATTTCAGCTCCTGCGTGTGCCGAGATCCTTCCAGCACAATTACAACGTACACCACTGTTACAGCAGTGCAGGGAAGACCAAACTCTAGGTCTAAACAGTCAGGAAAAAGGAGGTGATGAGCAGGTAATAAATAGGTGCATGGCTTCCAGAAAAATACCCAAAATAGTGGATAGAGCTATTCAGGTGTTCCCTGGGGCTAGGGCACGTACTTGCAGAGCTCTCTGTCACTCACAGAGCCCGTGAGCAGCAGGGCGAGTGGATGCACCCCCGCCGCTGTGCCCGGTTTCCTCAGGCTCCCATCGCTCGGTGGGACAAACGCCAGGAACTGATACAAGCACTGCGGAAGAAGAGAGCGGATGGAGCTCATTAGTGCTAAAGGAGGACGAGTGGGTGTCCTCACTCTGCGCAGCGGCCAAGACACG